AGAAGCACTTACACACCTTGACCTCAGCAAGATCCAGCATTCGATGCACGCTGAAGGTGTCAAATGGACATTCGACCCCCCTTATGGTGCTCATCATGGAGGCGTATGGGAACGACTCATCCGGATAATAAAAAAGAACCTCTACTCCATCACAAGGGAACAGATCCTGGATGACGAGAGTCTCCAAACAGCTCTATGTGAAGTAGAGGCAATCATGAATGACCGGCCCATCACAGTCTTATCCCAAGATGCAAAAGATCCAGAACCTCTGACACCCAACCACCTGCTTCAAATGAAGCGAATGCCGACTCTTCCACCTGGACTCTTCGACAAAAGTGATACCTATGCCAGACGAAGATGGAAGCAGACTCAGTATATAGCGGATCTCTTCTGGAAACGCTGGAAACGAGAGTACCTCCCATTGCTACAGGAGAGACAGAAATGGAATAAGGTCAAAAGGAACCTAAAGCATGGAGACATAGTGCTGATCATCGATGAAAGCTCACCATGCAACTCCTGGCCTATGGGCCGAATCACGGAAACATTTCCCGACAAAAGGGGACATGTTCGTGTCAAGATCAGGACACAGAATGGCACCTTGGAAAGGCCCATCACAAAGCTGTGCCTTCTACAAAACATGCCCTGATTAGATCCTCGAATCGACTTTGCCCATTTTCTTCGACCCTTGAGAGAACTCATTTTCCTTTTCTCAAGTAAAGTCCTCTCTTGGTGTACGGCAGGGCCCAAAACCACTGTTTGTTGCTATGGACCAGGAAATGTCATGCAAATCCACAAACAGGCTGCAGATAAAGTTACTAAACTAGACAAAAGAAGAGAGGGAGAGAGAGATAGAGGGAGAGGGAGAGAGAGACATACAGAGATAGTTGAAATATTACAATGCAGGTTTAACTAGAATTTCAACAGAATTCGAAATATTAAAAAACAACCATGTCTTCTGTTCCTTTTGATTAAGACAGAATTAATCATTTTCATCACTTGTGTATCTAGTAAAGATTGACTTTAACTAAAACTACCATTGTAAGTATCGTGCTTTACTTGCCTGGGGTGAATGTTGAAGGTAAACAAAGGTAATCAAACGTGTCAACAGTGAAAGTTCTGCAAACAAACTCAATATTTTTACTTCTGTTCAGCAGAAGGTTTCCCTTTGTGATCTCAATCAATAGTCCGCGTTGTGTTAAGGAGAAAAGGAGCGGCTCTTCCACTCATGAGTAAACAAATGCAGAGTGGCAGAAGCAGAGGGAACCAATTAGTGGTGTGGCTTCGATGATGTCACTGGCAAGTCACGCACCGGTGGCACAGCTTCCGCTCAAAGGGAAACATAACACCACACACGGCGCACACGCACACAGACACACTGTGTGACACAGGAGAATCCTTGATTATTAAAGCTGATGCCAAAATTATAGGGCAACAGAGGTTTCAGATGAGACGTGAATTTAGAGGGTGTGTGTGAGAGAGAAATCTTTGTCACCTGGAAGAACTTTGGATGTTTATGTCTTTTTAGGCTGTGGGAGGATCTGAACAGTCATGATAATCTGCTATAGTCTGTAAACCAGAACATGTTGCACTTATAACGCTGTACAATCCGGCTCTAGCATTGATTGCATTGAAAGCGCTCACCTTCTACAAACACTCGTACTGCACAACTGATTACATACTGTGAGGCTCAAATTTTTTAGAACTGGTTGTATTACGGAACTTCTTCAGATAGCCAGATGGAGGAGCTATGCATTTATAATCAAATTGGTATACATTTTTACTTATTTAGAAACGATTTTCAGTCAATTACTGGCCCCAAAACAGTACAACTAAAATCGTAGGTCCCTTCCAGGTGTGCAGCACTGCAAAGGTACAATACAATATTTACAGGACTCACCTGTCCTGAACCCGTGTTCATATTTGCCAATTGGTCAAATAGCATCAGCAGAGTGCGGATCACCTAGCAACCACCTCTCTACCGTTTGGGTCACCACAACCATGAGGGTCTTTGAGCAAGCAGCCAGAACATGGCACCCATTATATCAAACCGTCAGACGCAGAGGTGCACTCACACACTCACAGACGCAGGTGTGCACACACACACCAAATCAGACGTTGTAAATGCATACACAGGAAATAGTTCACAAATGAAAACCGCCCTATAAATGTGTTTCCTTTCCGGGTTTTGAGTTTGAGCTTCTCCGTCACAGCCGTCCCTCCATCGTGGAAGACACTCGTCTGCTGCTCTTCTGACCCCCACAAGCATTTTCTCTCACTGTTTATATGATATGTTATGCACTGATGTGAACGTGAGGTCAGCATTTAGGAGTAAAGTGCACACTGCACACACACACACACTCTCACTGCAAATCAAGAAACAACCTTCAACAACGAAACTTGAGGAACTTGTTTGGTTTCAACCTCTTCAAAAGTCACATTCTCAAATACGACTATGTAGTGTGTCTCATTCACTGAGCTAAATGGATACAGCTGCCCACATATACTGTTTAAGTGTGACACCGTCTGTGCAGCAGGTCAACTGGTGGAGTACAGGAAGGAAAGAAAGAACAGTATCTGATTTACATGAAAGACAGAATCAGCAGGGCAGGTTGTTCACACAAAGGAAACCACAAATAAAAATCTTTGGATGAATAGCAATGGCTGAATGAATTAGGTAAATGTTCGACATTGTGAAAAGATTCAAATGGGCCGTTGATTGCGCAAACTCCAAAGCTTTTGCCGAGGTGTCAAAACAAAGGACTACAAACCATATACATGTTAAAGGGAAATGCATCTCACGTTAAATCCCGTGTTTGGATTCAGCTACAACACTTAAGCGATCCAAAAAGAGCAAACTACTATCTGCTTGTGAGCACGTCAGCAGCTAATGCTAAAATAACCGTGTCCACAGCTGGCTCCCATTAGCCTGCACGTCTACGCACGCTACACAATATGCCGTCGCCATGTGGTTTGGAAGGCGGGACAGAGGGAGGAATGGAAGGGGGAGGAGAGGAGGATGAACGGTGGGAACAAGGATTTACAGCTTTTTTTAAAACACATAAAGAACAGAATGAGGGAGGGGGTGGGGTGGGGGGCGGCATGGATGTTGATGTAAACAAATTATACAATAATAGTAACAGGAAAAGAAGGGAATGTGAATGAAAGAAACTAATGAAAATAAACGCATAGGGGCCATAACAGTGACTTGGTGCCACAGTCTGTTATAGTTTATGAACTATTCTTCCATTTCTTCGGCCCTATTTACCATAAATAACAGATTTGATCATTATTTCTACCCCAGTATTCACATTTACGTTAAATATTACTCCATATTGTTTTTACTCATTAATATCTTTGTTTGTTTGTTTGATAGAGAAACATGTTGGTAATCAAATACATTACTGGAAAAAAGAACAGTTACGTATGTTTCTTTTTTCAGGCTCTACTGAACATTGTAAAAAACAAGATGAAATCAAAAGAAATACCAAGCGTTAGACGTGTTAGTGTGTGTAGTTTAGCTGTGGAAGTAATTAAGAGGAGAAGTTGCAACGTGCACAACATCTCTGCCCCGGCCTGACAGTTGTATTCTACATGGAGGTCCGGCAGCATCGGAGGGCAGGCTGTGTGTGTCTATGGCTTTGTGTGTAAGAAATAAATGCTGGATTCTCAGTACAGAGAAAAGTAGCAGAAAATGAACCCTCGAAAGACAATTAAAGGCTCTGCATTGAGTAGTTGTCCTCTTTCTTCTTTTCAGTGCACATTGCACAAGCGGAGTAAGAATGAATATTGCATTAAAGTTAAGGCTGAAACCTTAAACTTGTTTTGCTTTTGTTGGAGCTACATGAAACAATTATTTCAGATCTGGGTTAACCTATTGTGAGTGACTGCCGGCATATCGCGACGTGATTTGAATATGGGCGAATAGAGCAGACTGTCAGCACTTTGATCCTGATGCTCAGACGTGTGCGTGCGCTGACTTTCAATTCTACAGAACCACTGCAACACTGCTTTACATTGAAGACTCCAAGCCTCATTAAAACTTCATGGATCTGTGAGCACCGTCGACAAAGAGTAAGGTGTCATCTTACACACACACACACACACACACACACACACACACACAGACACACACACACAACCCAACACTCTCCGTCTCTCCTGCACACATGCATGCAGCCAGTTTCTTCTTTGTCTGACACACACCACATAAAAAATCTCTCCTGCAAAATGGCCTGAACACAAACACGCACACACACACACACACACAGCTCCCAGACATCAGAGCACTTGTGTTAAATAATTAACAGTGTGAGATTAGTCTGTCAGCCCTGGGTTATGGAGGTCCATCGATTTCCCAGGATGCATTTTTAATGAGCCGCCACACGACATTCATCTCAGCTGGCCAGTGTCCGTGGAGGAGCTTCTGACACACACGCACAACAACATCCGGGTGAGACAATTAACATCCACACAACAGCAGCAGGAGTGTGCACTGTACAGCTGATGTCCCCTTGACAACGGCAGCAGACTAACATTGTGTGAGCTCTACAAGTTGTTTAACTTTGATCTTGATCAAGATCATTGAGCAACAAACATATGAATTCTTTCAAAGTTTGTTGCCTTGAAGAAGGTATTTATACGCGTTCGATGTCCACATACGGAAACAGGACAATGAAACTTAACATTGGACGTCATGAAATCAGGTGATGTTTTTTTTTGTCATTTTCATTTCATAAAATAAAACAGGAACTGGAAGCAAAAGAGCAGACATTTGTGTTTCTCAAAAAGTTTCATAATGTCATGCTGGTTAAAAAAGTCAGATGAATCAAGCTCACATGACTGAAGCGATCAGAGATCAAGTGGTTTTTGTTGTAAAAAATTGTTTTTCACCTACAACAAGAAGTCGCTTGGTAGGATTAAGATGCATTTTGGAAACACTTAATGAGAAAGACAATGGCGTGACAGCGTGTGTGTGTGTGTGTGTGTGTGTCTTGTCCTACCTTTCCCGTCTCTCTCTCAAAGTCGACATACTCCCTTGCAGGAAGCTGCCGCTGATCTCCGTGCAGGTTGGCGGGGAAGAACTGGAGGGAGAGGTTGGTTCCTGTGGCTACAAAGGCCTGCGGAGAGACAGAGAACAAAACCTCCATTGAGGGATTTCTGACTGTGAGAGACCAGCGGTCATTAAAATCGTTGATGCTCAGTGTTAGCTGATGTATCAGCAAACACCTGCAAATTCAGCCGAGGCCAAGCACATACCAGGTCCAAAGTACATTGTTTGTTTTTGGTTTTCCAACAAATATTTGTGTCTCCTGAGCTGCTTCGCCTGCCTATTGTTCATTTCTACTCTTGCTGTTTCATTCTGAAAAGGTTTGACTACATGAGCGTTTTAATGGGAAACAAGGTGCTCACAGTTTTCCTGCACTGGCATGTTTGATGATGAGGGACGTTCAAATATAGAAAATGTATCAATCAAGCTAAAAGCATCGTGTAGAGCTGCGGTTTACTGGTTTTATTGGTAGTATTTATGAATGGTCAAATGACATACCATTGATTTGACATGTCAAAGTCAGTTTGACTGTCATGAGGAACTTATTAAGGGAGGAGGCTATACATTTATTGGAGATTTCAAATCCATAACAGAAAACTGTTGCGGACATTGGTGCTCACTGGGCCGGGAGGATCTAAACAAGAACCATTTTAGCTTTTTTTGCCAAGTTTACAAAAGAGCTTTTAGGGTTTTTTAACTTTTTGAGGGCTCCGTTTCATTATTGATGCATCAGCTGATTACTTTCTAACCGGTTTAGTTTCTAAAAATACTAAAAGTATCCATTCAAGTTTTTGAGTGCCCAAGGTGAGATTTTGTAATGGACCGATTTGCAACGGATCGATAAAAAAAAAATAGTCCCCCAAACTTATAAAAGTACTTTTAACAGGGCCTTTCTAATACAATATGCCCCTCACAGTATCCCAAATTATGAGCAAAATTAAAAGAGTTCTCGCAGAGGTTTAAACAGCAAAATATCAGAATAATTTAATTATCTCATTTTGATTGATTGTTTTTTGTTATTTCTGTATTTCCATCTTTGTCGTTTTCTGCTTTGTCTGTTTCTGACCACTGGCCTGCTCCCCCCGCGCACATAATCACATCACACTGTAAAGCTTTCCTGCTTTTTTGATTTCTGTATAATGGCTTCATGCTCTAGTGGGAGGCATTACTATAAAGAGAAACACACACAGACACACAAATTCATGCACACACGCATAGAGAAACACAAATAAAATAAAAAATCAATAGAATGCATTTCGACGTTGCATTCATAAAGCAATTAATTATGGCACGGCAGAAAATCAAGTCAGAAAATGCATATCTTAGTGTGTGTGTGTGTGTGTGTGTGTGTGTGAGTGTGTGTGAGTGTGTCATATATTGTGTTTGTGGAGACGGATCAATATTAATGGCATTAGGGCTGCGACTGCACTGGGAGCATATGAATTATGCACACTGTCAAATCTGAGAAAACCAAATGAAAGAAAAGAAGGAAAGAACAACAGGGAGTGGAAGAAAAGGAGGAGAAAGCTGAAAATAAGTAAGTGTACATGGACACACACACACACACACACACACACACACACACACAGAAAGAAGCTCTGTCATTACACACGTGGATATACACGCACACACACACACACACACACAGAAACGCAAGCTCAACGAAAACCCAAGTCATCAATTCTGCAGTATTGGAAGTATTGGATTACAACCATCTGACTCTCATTTGCTGCCTACTACTGCTGGAGCAAGAAAAAAGGGGAGGACAGGCAGAGAGAGGAGAGGATGGAGGGAAACTAGGAGACAAAGGAGGGGGGGAAGGAGAGGGAGGCAGCGAGAAACTAGGGAAATGAGAGAAAGGAAGAGAAATGAGGGTGAATAGGGCGACGGGAGTAAAGGCTGCCTGGTAGTTATTCAGTCTAAAGTCAGACTAAGACAAAGACGGGGAGGAACGACAGTAAGGTGAGGAACAGAGCAAAGGACACGAATTAACAGGAGGTGAACAAACAGAGAGAAACATTGGGGCAGCATGAAAATCAATTCATCATTTAGGAGATAGATCAGTAACACACAGCGCAGCTTTCAAATTGCATTTTTACGTGACATATATTGTAAATCATGGGGAAGGGACATAATGTAATTACAGTATCTAAACATGCAAAATATACAATATTTAATTGTGTTAAAAATCTACTGCCTTTAAAAAAGAATAAAACCATGTGAAATCAAAATTTTTAGACATTTAGAAAACTCCAGCTTAATATAAAACATATGTACGGTGAAAGGTGTCTTTGATTTTACCTTTTAACAGGCGTTTGAGGATTTACTGACTGTAAAATGAAAGTCACCAGTAAGAGAATCAGCAACATGACTACACTTTGACATGTTATGAGTGTAGTGAAAGCACTATTTGTAGACCAAATAAAATTACTCTGCCTGGAATGATCATTTTCTTTTGTCTTTTCCAAAAACATATTTATTTACGTATACCTAATGCTTCTCCATTGTTGAAAAAAACAATTATTTACCTGAAAGGTCTATTCTCACTTCCTGCTGAATACTGATGTCACATGAGCAGCTGAAAAACTTTCCCTCTTCAGCAGGTCAGAGTAAAGAATAAAAAAGCATTCTGGGGTCAGAATCTTCTCATGCGTCATTCTGCACAGTTAAAGGTCAAACATCTCTGTATAAATACAACACCTGACTGGAGACGGACAGTAAACACAACAAAATGATTCATTCTATCCTAACAAATTGGGCGCAGTTTATTTTATCTGTGCTCTGTTCCGTCTGTTAAAAAGTGATCCTGCGCCGCACGTTTGAGTGTCATCGTGTCAGATGGCAGGGGGTCTTTAGCGGCGTCTGCCTCATGGATAAATCAGCGACATGATTTCATAGCTGCTGGGAAACCATTAAAACCGTGGCCATCAATTCTCATAGAAGAGGCTTATAAATACAGTGAGGACAGACGGACGGACACATCATGTGGCGCCAAAAGATGGTGATACTAAATGAAGCCCCCCCTCCCGAACACAGCAAAAGTTGCCTTATGGTATTTTGCCGTCAATTCACTTTGTGTTGAGGATAATGGTTAAATAATTAGTTAAAGAAGAATTGATTATATAGTGACAACATGAAAATGCTTTGACTTTTGAAGTTTTGAGAAAATAAAATATGTCACATGGGTTCAGAGGCTTTGCTGGGGGAAACATAAGAGTAGTTTGTTGTCTTTGCAGAGGACATTTGTCTCCCGACTGTATGGACTAGATTACGTTTAAAAAAAACGTATAATGGGCATAAATATCATGCACTGTTATAGCGTTAGGTAAACCACTTAATATATTAAAATACACCTAAAATGAGGAGTAGTAATCCAGTATTAGAAAAATACAATTCCAACAGAGATAACTTTTATACTTGAAGTAGTTTTGAATCTACTGGACGATAATTTACATACGTCAAAAAATGTATGTGCGTTTGAGAACGGACACCAATGAACAACAACCCGCATGAATGAAAACACGGTGAGCAGGAATCTCTCTCTTTGTGTGGGACTGCACAGACTTTTCTGTCCCCCTTCCCACACATGGAGATGGTGTCCCTCTTTCCCATTGGCTCTAGTTTTCAAAGGCCAACCCGCTGGACCAGTGACACTTTTCTAAAAACCTGGCTGTGAAGAGAGCAGAAAGGGCTGCAGGTGGACGTCAATCCAACTGAGGTGTGTCGAGTGCAGGTGAACGCTATGGCCAACGGGGGAAAGTCCCCATTGATTTCCATTTATTATGGTGTCACAACGCAAACACGGGCAGCAGAAAGGCTTTACAACAGGAACATGTTGTTTGCCCTACTTGTGTTTATATATTTGACTTGTAGATGTCGGATGTGGTGCAACGCAACAAACTCTACATATAAATCAACCGTTGAAAAAATGAATTGTGAAAAACAAATTCTTAATTCCAATGTGACATATTGTGTTCTGAGACCAACAGTCCAAAACTTTAAAGATGCTTTAAATCGTTGCCGGAAAAGAAATGGCACATAGACGTTGACTTCACTTCCAAAACTTGTTGGTTAGTTCTATGTTGCTCGGGATAAAACTGTACTAACTCGACTTTAGTATTGATATAGTGCTAAATTGCATCACTGTGTAACGTCAGGTGTTTGTATCGTCCCATTCACTCGCTGCATGTTGACTTCATTCACTACATGTTTACTGTATATACCAAAATTAGACATGATAGCTGCTATTTACTTTGGCTGAGCATTTTTAGGCCCTAAATTGCAGCCCTGAGAGTGTTGCAAACGTAAACTGCCTGTGTGATAACAAGCGCTGATGCGCTTCGACCAAACAAAGCCTGGATAATGATCACGATGATGCAGAATGCAGAGGGAAGAAGCCGTGAGCCGGTTGGCACAGTTAAGCCCGGTGGTTCTGCATGCCTGATACAACGTCTACTTCACTGTGCGAGGACACGTCAAAACACACGGAGTGTCTATCTGTAATGTGCTGCTGCACAACATGAACTGATTTCAGCGCTTCCTTGATAACAGTTTATATGTCTCATAAAATGGAGTCAGCTTTGACACTAATGCACAATACTGTAAAGGATTTTGAAGTTTGTTTAATTTGATTGTATAGATGGACAAATAGGTGTACAGACAGACAGAGAGATGGATTAGCACAACACAATAAAGGAGACTCAAGTAAGACAAATAAAAAATTCAGTTTTGCACTCACTATTTCTGACCGTCCGTCCCTGCAAGCGTTCTGAAAGCGAGCTTGTCTCTCCTCATGGGGCCGGTCCCTGAACCCAGTATATTTAATCTACAATGAAAAGAAAACACCAACCGGGAACACCGAGATCATGAACTCACATCATCAATAACAACCTGCTCGGTGCTGGTTTGGGAGAGAAAACACTCCCAACAGGGCTGTTTGACGCTGAATGCATCTGAATCAGATAATAAGACATGGGAATTCAGCATTAATGTAAAATGCACCATTCTTTGTGTTTTATCATCATAATCCTAAAGAGTTATACAAATAAGAATAACTGAATGGACAGGGCAGAGTAAGAGGTATGAGAACATACACATCTCAAGGTATTTGTATTCATACATTTGTATGGGGCAACTTCACTCCATAAAGTAGCTTCAAACGAGTGGACTCGTCGCGCTTTTGTCCTCTTCTCGTTTCCGTCTAACAGAAGGACCCAAACACTCACCTCGCACTCTCTGCTCAACTTGCGGAAAAACTCCTCGTTCTCAAACTTGCTCCTCTGTTCCGGGACGACCCGCGGCATCTTCACTCACTCGTTCCGGCTTCTTTCACTTTCCCTTCGTATTCGTCTTTTTTTCTTTTTATTAATATTTATCCCGCACAGACAAACTTAAAGTGCCGTCCGTCCCTCTCTGCTTCACTCACTTCTCTTCCGTGTATAAGCTGTTTATTTCTCTTCTTCTATGCGGAGCGACGAGTTCTCTGCTGCTGGTCTCTGGCTTTGCTCTTATTAGTATTATTATTATTATTGTTATTGTTATTATGGTGATGATGATGGACCGCGCTCCGAGTCGCCTCCGGCTCCAAATGGCTCCTACTGAGTGACCCACCTCGGAAGATAAAGCGCAGTTTGTCCGTCTCTCTCTCTCTCTCTCTCTCTCTCTCTCTCTCTCTCTCTCTCTCTCTCTCTCTCTCTCTCTCTCTCTCTCTCTCTCTCTCTCTCCTCTCTCTCTCCCTCTCTCTCTCTCTACCTGTAACTTTGAAGGGCTCCTCCCGGGGGCCCTGCCGATTATTTAAGCCGATGTAGGTGTATTCATATAACAGCATTACTATACAGGCTGAATATAAACTTTTATTTGAACATTTTAATTACAGTCATTAATAATGTGCCACGGATGTGTTCGCCCTGGTGGCCACAGCTTTGTTCGGTAAAATAATTACATGTTAATGGTTTGACGCTCCTCAAAACGCCTTAATCGTACTGCTAACACGTAAATAGCCATGGAATTAAATACAAAATTATCATCAGCTTGAAGCAACATATAAGGCAGTAGCACATACAATCCTAACTATTATGTGTGTAATGTATTTTCGCTTTCTGTAGCTTGGCAGCTGAAACAGGTTGAAGTTACCGGCACTTTCTCCGGGTCCTTGAAGGCATCAGCGGTCTACTTCCTGGCTCCGTCGAGTCGCTCTTGTGACTGTACGTCCAAAATAGGCAAATAGGGTAAATAGGCACCTTATTTTCTGTGTATAATTAGTTTTAATTAATCTTAATTTACCAATTGTAAATACAAATTCAAATTTTGTCTGAGGATAAAGATTCCACGGTTAATTTTTTTTTTCCTAACTAAAAATAAAAAATCTGTCCTATTTCACAACGAAGAGGCGTCCCTGTTGTTTGTCCTCATTGTATTCACATTATTGTGCAGAAATGACATGTTAGCAAGTTTCTCTCACAAATAATCTAAGACTAGAAACTTCTTTGTGACTGCACAACAATTCCCAAACTATTTTCGCCAAAACTAAAGCACTAAGGGAGCTAACACATCACGCATGAGGGATTTCTTCTCATCAATCCGACATCTCAACCCGTCTCATCCTCGCTTTCACACATTCTACTTCGTTTTTCCTCTGTGCTGTTTGGTAGCACTTGGAAGATAAAAATGGTGGGGGTACACAGCTCTCCCACAGCTCACGAGAGCAAATAAATGAACACACACACATACACATAAACAAGCTATAAGTCGCTATAATCAGTACGTTTGTTTCATTTACACTGAGGGGTCTTTTACCAACAACCTTCACTATGTGTAGAACTCTAAAAACAGTCCTTTGCGCCATCCTGTGGAAGTATTAGAACACAACACTTTAGCATGGCGCAAAGCATGCGGTTATACATCCCCCTCTCTATTTTAACAAATCTAAAATAAAAATAAAAATCACAGCAGGATGAATGATGACACGTAGGTTGGACGAATAGAAAGGCGCTTTACAGGTAGAAATTATCATCCATTGAACTGTTTTGTTATTGTTATACTCATTGAAATATAATTTCCTGCTTAGCAGAAGAATGTTGTTTTCATTCTGATCTGGCAAAAAGCTTTGCAATCTCAGTTTGTCAAAGATTTAAGGGCATTCGGTATATTGATAGGAAATACAAAAAAGGCCATACACATTTAACCCTGTAAGACCCAAACATAGAACAACCTAAAAAATGTTTTTTTTTTACCTTTCAGATATTGTTGCAGGAGCCCTTTAATGCAGAAATTGAAAGGTTTTACAAAAATAAATGTTCATGTATGTTTTTAGAGAAATGTTGTAATATTGCAACATTGGGCTTAGTTGGGAGCAGAATTTCTGTATTTGTACTCAGATTGTCAATCTAAACAACTAAGGGTTCATTTGCAGGTTTGATTGCTTACTTAGTCCCATAAATAATTATATATATATATATATATATATATATATATATATATATATATATATATATATATATATATATATATATATATAAATAACATTAATAATAATCAACATTAATAATAATCACACATTAGTTATATAATCACACATTAGTTATATTTTTTATGAAGTCATCTATTAAAAATAAAATATTAAACAGATAAATCCCTAGGTTTTTCTAGCAACTTCTTCATTCCTTTTTTTCTTTTCATGACTGACTTTCATTGGTTGTGAAAGTCCCAAAAACAGTTCTTGTCCTCTGAAAAGCAAAGGCGAACATCACACTTGCTGCATTGCGTGTTGGTGTATCCTTTATTGCAGTGTCTGCAGCGTCCTCTCCCTGTCTTCCGTGGGAAATGTGCAACTAGGTCCTTGCGTACATCCAATGGGAGTTGTGCACATCTCTTGGATGGTCTCTTCTGAGTATTCAGAGGGCTACTTGATGTCACTGTCTGTGTTGCTGGGCTCCCTTTGCCTGGAGATGGTCGTCCTCTCTTTGGAGTTTGATGTGTTGTGTTGACCAGGATGAGAGAGGATACTAGCTGTGCCTGAAACTATCTCCTGTTCATTGTCTCTTTGTTAGACATCTTAAGAGCTTTGCAGTCACGCTTGTAGAGGATGATGGTGTGCCAAAAGATGTACATGTACCAGCGACGGGATTTGATGGGGAAATTTGGCTGTAAATGAGTACAACAAATGCACACCTCCCATGTACTTGTTGTAGGCACCAACAGTGTAAGGCCTCTCAACTTCAATGTATACGGCTCTGTTGACTTTGCCCCAGCGTTGAATCTTCTGCACAGGTTCAGGTCCAGCAAACGATGACACAAGTGTGACAGCCCTGTTGTCATACCATTTGACAGCACAGATGTTGTGATTCCCCTCCACTCTGACATCATAGCTTCCTCTCCCCTTTTTCTTCAAACTCTTCTCGTCTTCAAGGTGACAGTTGGGTAAGCGCACCTGCCTGGCTGTTCCCACATAATGAATTCCCCGTTCAAGGAGCTTTTCTAATAATGGAACACAGGTGAAGTAGTTGTCTGCATAGATTTTGTAGTTCTGACTTTCTGGAAGTGTGGAAGCAAGTTTCATCACAACATCACCTGACAATCCAAGTTCAGATTTGGCTCGTATTCCGTTGACACTGCCTTGGTAGACATCGAAGTCACACATCATACCAGAGATTCCAGTTCTCACCCACACTTTGAATCCCCATGGGTTTGGCTTGCCTCGCATATATTGCTTGATGCTGCTGAATCTCCCCTTGAAAGGAATCATCATCTCATCCACAGAGTTGTGCTCTTCTGGTACCACCTGCAGGCATTTCTCTCTGAATGAATCAGCGATACCTGTCACGGGGCATGGTGTGTGTGTTTGTGGCTCGATGTCCACTTAATTATCAGCTGGACAGTCCATGGGTGGTTGGTTTTCTTTGTCCACTTGTTGACAGACATCTTCATCTGAGTCTTCATCAGTGTCATTGAGGTCCATCTCAAATTCACTGTCACCATTTTGGATGGAATCAATCACATCCTGCACATTGTATCGCAACTCTCTCCTTGCTGGTGGCATTCTGAAAATAAAACAACAATTAATTAACATGTATAAATATGATTTTTATATTGTAGTACATAACCTGAAGTAATAGGTTGGTGGACCAAGTGCTCAGGGTAGAAATGTTTTCCAGGCAGACAATACTGTCTGTTTATTGTAAGTTTCTTTCTAACCTGTTGCTGTCTGCTAAATGTCCTTGTAGGATATTAGAAACAAATATACGACCCGGTTCATAAAATTAATAAAATGCATATAGTGTACACCAGAATACAGCCATGATTCTGAAACTGTGTAATCAATAAAGTAATGACAATATTGTAAAACCACTGTAAATCTGCAACTGTAATAGAATAATACCAATGCAGTTATGATTGTATTTGATGTAATGTAATCAACTGGAATGCATGCATGTAATACTTGCACAACAACTGATATTGACTAAGGATCATTCGAAATCCAAGTTACATTGAACTCACCAGAAGACCACTCCCAGAGGTTTAGACACTGACTTTCACACCTTTAAGCATTGTTATAAATACCTGTAGGAACCATTGTTCTCGAGTTCGCTGGTGGAGGCGACAGATGGGCACTAGGGATGGTCAAAAGGACTGACCTGGGGCCTGTTGGTGGCTGAGACCAGCGGCTCCTCAGCTGAGATGTTCTTTTTACCACAACACCATCTCCTTTATTAAATACATTTGATTTCAACCTTTTGATCAGCGATGACCTCTGTCCGTCCGGCGTTTCTTCATTTTTGAACACAACATCCTACATGTAAATGTATGAACTACATTTTCAGAGATACAACTTCTATATCAGTCCAGAACACAACAAAAGAGTAGAATGTACAGGTATACTGTCCATGTATAAGAAAATACTCTTTCAGGCAGTGGTGTAGTGGAGGGAATACAACCTGTTTGAGTCCACTGCAACGAGCCTGCTATTTTGACTACCACTCACCCAGTGTTGTATAAGTGCAACAAGTATATAACAAGCTCTAAAGGAAATTTGATAAATTTATTACATTACATTACATTACAGGTCATTTAGCAGACGCTTTTATCCAGAGCGACTTACATTACACTTTAAACCCATGGTGGCTTTTTTTTGCCCGGGGAGCAATTAGGGGTTAGGTGTCTTGCTCAGGATTGCTCTGCATTCCCTGTGATTCATACAAGCTGGACACATGCAGACACACGCGTTAATTCCCCTAACTGGTACCAACAGTAACCTTGTCAGTTGGAGCCAGATCGCTGTCAAACTTCTTCTTTGAACATCCTTTCAGTCCTTTTTGTGGGTGCTGGCTGCGTCCCAACCGGATGGGTGGGCCCAATAGCAACAATGACTCAATCAGAACTCAAAGGGACGGCAGATGTTCACGTTAACTAAATTTGAGTTTCCACGATATGAAATGTGTCTCACATGTTATCCTTGATCAGAGGTAGTTTTGTCACAATACTGACATTTGGACTTGAGCGTGTATTCAAAATAATAACAAGTGGACGAAAACTATTTTTTTATTTGTTTTGACTCAGTTCTTTATATTTTTTCATTCTTCACTTATATATTGTTTTTGATTCACGCAATATT